ATCCTAGCCAGGAATAGCGAGGCCGCCGAGGACTGGGGGCCATTTATTTGTGTCGTTGCTCATTTGGGGTATATTCCCATAGTTGCCACGCTTGGCGAGCGGGTTGGCAACCGCAGTTTTATTGTTTTATAATTTCTGTTATCAGGAAGATGCTGCTGCCCATATCCTGCCTGTTTCCCTCTGTCGAAAAATATGGGGTAGTGGATATTCTCCACTAAACGGCATCGGCCACTACACGTCATCCGCCTCTACACAGATAGAGATACTTAGTAATTTAAATTGAACATTCATGTAATAAAGTAATAGCGATCTATTTTCCACTAAAACTGTCTATATTACGTCAACGTATTTTAAGTTTTAATGTCATTGCGGTATCCTAAAACGGACGCAATGCACATAGTTAAAGCTCTTAATAACAAAGTTTTAAAACAGATTTAATGCTATGAATAGGCGCGAAGATGCCTATTTATAGTTCATTAATGACACCGAAACTTGCTACATATTTCCATCGCATCCGCACCTGCCACATTATCCTCGAAGTCGACTAAATTGTGTTTGAAAATCCATTACATTTCAACGTCACCTTCGTATATAGTAAAGTCTAGGATGATTGACGGTCGTAAATGTTGTAAGTTGAAAAGTTAGTCGGGCTTTGAAACTTGGATTAGTTTTTGTTTCTATACAAGATGTGTAGTAAGTATCTTTATATAAAAAAATCTTTTGTACGTGGGTTTGAAACACACATAGTTCTTTTTTTAATTTATAAGAGTGACAAAGGATACAAAGCTACGCTGATAATACGCGAATGATGTGGCCGATAGGCACCTGCATATGCACTTTATTAAGAATTACAATGATTTTTCACCTTATATACCATTTTATACATTCTATACCATTACAATTACAACAACAGCTTCACGCCGACTATTTAACCCAACCTATTCGTGCTTTAGACACACTCGGGCATTTACCACTCATAATTACTCAATTTAGAAATTAAACTTTTGCTAAGTCATCTGTAGGTAAATCTATTCGCGTTATGTCACTGTAAGAATATCCTCTACGTTATAAGGTCCCGTGGTGTAAGAGGCGATAAATAAATGGAAGCTGAAACAGGAGGCAGGGAGCACTATATTTCTGATAATCAATAAAAACAATAAAAATACTGTGACTTTTGATTTCTCACGTGCTCCTTTAAAAGTTCGGCCCCTCGGATTTTAAACATAAAATTATTATAGGAAACCAAAGTAGCTTAGAAGCTTAACGCTTGCAGTAAATGTTATAGTACGTGAGCAACTATAGTTAGACACCCGTTGATAGAAAACATTATTTTTATTATAATCTTAAGTGCTGGTGAAGAAAAAAATTTGAACAAAATTACAAGTCTAAGAAGTAAAACTGTCTATCCATCCGATTTTAATATGTCTCTCAGGATAGTGTGAATAGCCTTTTGTTAACATCATTATTTCTATCGGTTGCGATCTTCGTGGAACACTAGTTTATTATACAACATGTAACATAAACCCTATGGTTCCTGTTAATGAGTGTTCTAATCTAAAGAAATAAAATTGCTTCAGACACGTCGACCATAAAACAACGAAATTAAATTTAAATAAATTTTTATTTGCAAATTGTGTGTGGTTACATTGCGTCTAAACTGACACGCACATCGGTAAGGCAAATGTCTTTAACAATACTCATAATATTACTCACCGGCCAATGCAAACAAAAATTGATTTTAATTAAATTTATTTTATTTATCATCGAGTATTCTGAAGTTAGTCATTTATATACGTTGGAATACTAATTATGATAACGCACTTATGGTTGTAGCACGAATGGGTCGGCTTGACCGGTGTAGGACTAGGTGTCTATAGGTCACAGCATCCACTTACTTACACTTACTTTTTACACTGTGTGCTCGTTGGTTACCCTTATTTTATAAAAGAACCTTAACGGGAACTACAGGGTTTTTGTTTCATGTTGTTTATAGAAAGTACTTATAAAATGTATTCCTTTAAAAAGTTTGCCAACTTGAATTAGAGTAGCATGGTGGATTAGCTGCTTCATAACCCTTTCTGAGAGGACAGGCATCCTATTAGAAAATATCAAAACGTTTTATCCATTAGGTACACAGGTTTTCCCTCAACACTGAGCACATGTTTAATCAGCACTTTAAATTGCGTTATGAGTGAACTAGCTTCACCTTATAAATTTCGCGTTATTTCGATATATTTTTTTAAATCTCCAAGTTTTAGCATCCAATTATAATAATATAATTCTAGATAACTTCCTTCATTACTTTCTAACTGTGAAACTAACGTTACTTGTGAAATTTAATTTCATCCGTTTAAGTCACAAGAACAGACAGATAGACCAAAATTTTGAAGATGGTTTTTCATGTTTTAAAAGCATGCAAATAGCCCCTTGAGCTCAATTTAAGTCGGTTATTTCGAGAAAGGTACTTCAATTTTTTTGATGTGCAGTATAGACATACATGAAATTACAGCGAACCCTTTTCCCATAATCTGACACGGTTATTATTTATATTCTTTAGATCCTCACACATGCACTCGTCACTCATTAAGCGTGTGTTTTTGTAGAAAAAGGTGACAAACGAGCACACAATCCATCTTATCGTAAATAGGTGCTGCGGCACATAGAGATTTAAACCTATTCTCTTACACTTAGCACCAAGATAAAAAGGGTCTACGGTTCTCTATGCTTACCATAAGAAACACTGCAGCATTGACAAGCCATTTTAAGCTGGTATTCTGTGAAAACATGATCCTTCCGCGGTCGAGCTGAGCCAATTGTGATCTTACTGCTGGCTGCAGCATGGCTCCATCACGTGTTAAAATGATGATGTCACTTAGTGTAATATATACTTATAAAAGACGAGTTTGTTGGTTTATGAAGCTTCAATAAAATAACAAGCTCGCAAGATGCATACTCTTACATGTTAAACGTGAGTGAAAGAAAGAATACACCATTCAAAATCAATATAGGTACTTATTAAATCATTTAAACAAACAAAAACATTACGATATAAATGTACGCGCGAAGATGATGCAGTATTAGTTCTGCCTCGTTCAGCGTCAGTGGGTAGTGCACGACTGAAACGGAAAGTTAAGAACACTCAGAGCAATGCCGATGATCTAGACCATATTTTATTCAAACGATTTTAATTTATTTTTTGAAAATATTATTTTGTTGTTAACACATGACATCACAATCACATATCACATTTTTGGGATTAAGGGGACTACAAGAGCCAACGGACCTCGAATGATGCACGCACACATTTACACAATCAAGTGAATGCCATCTAACGACAGTTATCTTAAACTAACGCATTAGCAAAATTACGCCAGAGTGTTTTAAATAAGTAATATATAGTTCTAACAAACAAATAGTATTACTTTTTTGTTATTTGATTTGACTGTTTCTTGAAAATTGGGTGATTTTGAAATAAAACTGATTCGAACTTAAAAACAAACTAAAAAACTTTTTATTTAAGACCTCTCAACAGTCCCGGCCAAAATGGCCGCTTAGGCGAATACTGTCCAACCCTAAGCGAGTGATTTATTGCCTACGTGGCGTGTGTCATTAAAATGGCAATATCTTAATAATTATGAATGGAAACTATATAAAATAATATATTGTTAGAATTATTGTAAAGTAAGCTAATAGAATATGTGTAATATAATAATATTATGACAAAATCACTACGTCAGTGCAGTCAGTCAGCACCTTGCCAAGAGGTGTTAGTTCCATGACTCGGCAAAAATTAAAAGCGCAAAGGCCCGCTTGTGCACATGGCCCCACCATAAAACGGCGCCGGGTCTGGGCGTCTCCCCGTTAAATGACGCCCACTTTTATGGATGATGGAATATGCAAAAACGCGCAAAGGGCAGCTGCCTACGATAGGTGCTGCACGACCACCCATCAGCCTCTCGCATCCATCATCCCCACCAGCTGGCTTGGTGTCGGCAGGGTCTTCGCGGGCCCAGCAATCGGCACCCGCCACTGGTGGAGTACGCCGCATGCGATGGACAATCGAAACGAATATTAACGCATTGCGGGCGTATTTTAGGGCGAAAGGGGGAGAAGTTGGAGGTTTGGCGTATCGGGCTAGCATGCATCGTCTTTTTACTGAGATGGAGCCATCTTTAACCGTCTCAGAGCAAAACCTGGCAGACCGGGTTCGGTATATCTTGCGCTCAAATATATTTGATGTCGCCGAACTCGAACGACTACGACGTGAGGCTGTTCCCTCATCGGATAAAAATGCTATGGCTGAGGATGCGGCGCCACAAATTGCAGAGCAACCCGCAAACGTGAATGCCGCCGTGAATACCCCAGTTGTGGTTGATTCAAACGATGATGGAACAGTCGCCCAGGAACTGGAATTAGAGCATATGAGGAGTACATTGGAAGAGGCGATTGTGGAAACGCACAGTACGCCTCTCGAAAATCGACCGCGACTTCCCCGCATAGCCCTAAGCAAGCGGAATCGGGCTGTCGTGAGGGCTCTGAACCCAATGCTGGTGACCTATTTGGAAGCCAGCCGGGACCTTTGCGAGACGGACTCAATTCTTTTTGGCGCCGCACTGGCAGTATGCCGTATTATAGGCGCCAAACTTTCCACGGCTGGACGCGCTACTGGACAAAGTAGAGCTATTCCAGCCTGGAGAATAAGAATTGAAAAACGTATTACAAAGGCTAGGGCCCTCATCGGCAGACTGATATGCTTCAGGTCAGGCAACAATAGGCCAAGCATTGTGCGCACCGTCAGGATGGCATTTGCTGGGACAAATGTTAGTTTGTCCCTGCCGGATATAATGCAAAAACTGACGAAGCGCATAGACGACCTGAAGCAGAGAATCGCTGCTTGGTGAAAGCGGATTCGGCGATATACCGAGAGGTCGACACGGTTTCACCAGAATCGTCTCTTCCAGAGTGATCAAAAGAGGCTCTATAAATCGTTGGAGCGACCAATGGTAAGTGGAACGGGCCCAGCACCGAATCAGGCCGACACTGTAGCATTCTGGCGCGGCCTGTGGTCAGAGCCCATAAACCACAGCGAGGGCCCTTGGACGGAGGTTGTGGCGAGTCAGTATGCGAGTATAACGCCCATGGACCCCGTCATCATAACGCCGGATGACGTAGCTGAGGCGGTCCGTAGGGCCCCGAACTGGAAAAGTCCGGGACTCGACGGGCTGCATCACTACTGGCTGAAGGGGTTTGTGGTGTGTCACACTGTGCTCGCCCGACAGTTCCAAGAGGCACTCAACCAGAAGTCGCTTCCGGGCCTCTTCACTACTGGGATCACGCATTTGGTTCCTAAAGACCAGGTTACCACAGACCCGAGTAAATACCGCCCCATCACGTGTTTGCCGACCATATACAAGACACTAACATCCATTTTGAGCGCGAGAATCACTCGTCACCTGGAATCAAATCAGGTAATGACGCGCGCTCAAAATGGATGTCGGGGCGGCGGTTGTGGAACCAAGGAACCACTCCTCATTGACGCGGTCATTGGCAAAGTGGTGAAACGCAACCGTCGGAACTTCTCCGCCGCCTGGATAGACTACAGAAAGGCATTCAACTCGGTGCCCCATACATGGCTAAAGAGGGTCCTCGAGCTGTACAAGATTGACTGTACAGTTCGAGATTTCCTCGAACAATGTATAGGGCAGTGGAGTACGATCCTCTGTCATCTAGGCGAACGGATGACGGCTGCGGAAAGCCGCATAAAGATAAGAAGGGGTATATTCCAGGGCGACTGTATGAGTCCAATCTGGTTCTGCCTCACTTTGAACCCCACCAGTACTTAACTGGAGGGCTCTGGGAGGGGGATTTTAGCTTCAGAAAGGAGGTACAAAAGTGATCCACATTTTCTATATGGATGGCCTCAAATTATTCCCCTCCAGTCGCTCCCATCTTATGGAATTGCTAAACATCACTTGTGAATTTAGCAATTCTATTGGAATAGAGCTGGGGACGGATAAGTGTGCGGTACTCCATGTTGAGAGGGGTAGGGTTGCTAACTCTGAGGGCGTAGACTTATCTATGCCCGTCAACTTAAGGACCCTTTCCGAGGCTGAAACATACCAATACCTGGGTATGTCACAGAACATCGGTATCGATGAGACTGGTATGAAACAGTCAGTTTGCGACACGTTTTATGCACGCTTGACCAAAGTTCTTAACAGCCTTTTGTCCAGTGTGAATAAGGCACATGCATATAACGGCTGGGTCATGCCTGTCCTCATGTTTACCTTTGGCATACTCAGGTGGACTCAGACCATACTTAAAGCCCTGGATAGAAAAGTCCGCACTAACATGACGTCCCATAGGATGCATTATCCGAGATCGTCGGTAATGAGGCTGTACTTGCCGCGAAAGCATGGTAGGCGTGGCTTCCTGAGCGCGCTCACCATGCATAATCGCGAAGTGTGCAGCCTCCGTAATTACTTCCTGGTGAGATCGGATGATCGATTCTATAATGACGTCATTTCTAGTGATAAAGGACTTACCCCTCTATCTTTAGCCAACGAGCAATGGCAAGACCCGGCAGTACAAAGCATTTCCGACCGGGAGACCGTATGGAAGGAGAAGGAGCTCCACGGGAGATACTACAGGGTTCTACATGAGCCCTTCGTAGATACAGTCGCCTCCCTCAACTGGCTACGTTTCGGTGACCTTTTTGGGGGAAACCGAGGGTTTTGTCTGTGCAATACAGGATCAGGTTATTAAGACCAACAACTATCGGAGATACATCCTAAATGATGGCACCATCGACGTCTGTCGAGCTTGTCGCCATCCCGGTGAGTCACTTAGGCATGTCATCTCCGGTTGTTCGGCGCTTTCTAACTCTGAGTACTTGCACAGGCACAACCTAGTAGCCAGAATTCTACACCAGGAGCTCGCTCTGAAATACGGTCTTGTGGATCGGAAATTGCCGTATTACAAGTACGTACTGTCTGCCGACCGAAAATATTCCTGTAGTCGTGTCTGCAAACGGGTTAATACCAGCCAGCCTCTCGGGCCATCTGAGGCGACTGGGACTCCGTGACGGACCGCTCCGGGCTCAAATGCAGAAGGCGGTGCTCCTCGATACCGCTCGCATCGTCCGCCTGTTTCTTTCCCTTTCCCTCTAACCCTCAGCCGTTTGGTTTCCCTGCCGAGGGCTTCCATCTGGTTGGGCTTTTATTTATTTATTTATTTCTGTTAGTATATTAAATATATATTAAGTATATGTATTTTTCCGTTTATATATTTATCCAGCCCACCCAAATGTTATTACTCTATTAATAACCCAGGAATAATAATAATAATAATGCGCAGCTTGCCGTATTACTGGCGCCAAACTTCGGCGGCCATCCCAGCTTGGAGAAAAAGAATTGAGGACCGTATCGCAAAGGCAAGGGCCCTTATCGGCAGACTGACAAGCTTTAGGTCGGCTAATAATAGACCAAGGGTTGTGCGCACCGTTAGAATGGCGTTTGCTGGGACAAATATCAGTTTGTCCCAGCCGGATATCACGCAGAAACTAACGGAGCGCATAGACGACCTGAAGCAAAAGATCGATTCTTGGGGGAAGCGGATTCGCCGATTTACCGAGATGTCAAGGCGGTTAATGCAGAATCGTCTCTTTCAGAGTGATCAGAAGAGGCTCTATAAATCATTGGAGCGACCAGAGGTATGTGGAGCGGGCCCATGGCTGGATCAGGCTAACACTCTCGTATTTTGGCGTGGCCTGTGGTCAGAGCCCTTAAACCACAGCGAGGGCCCTTGGACGGAAGTTGTGGCGAGTCAGTGTGAGAGTATTACGCCTATCGACCCTGTCATGATAACGCTGGATGACGTAGCTGAGGCGGTCCGTAGAGCCCCGAACTGGAAAAATCCGGGACTCGACGGGCTGCGTCACTACTAGCTGAAGGGGTTCGTGGTTTGTCACGCTATGCTCGTCCGTCAGTTTCAAGAGGCTCTCAACCAGAAGTCGCGCCCTAGCCTCTTCACTACAGGGATCACTCATTTGGTTCCTAAAGACCAGATTACCACAGACCCGAGCAAATACCGCCCCATTACGTGTCTATCCACCATATATAAGACATTGACATCCATTTTGCGCGTGAGAATCACTCGTCATCTGGAGCTAAATCAGGTGATGTCACGCGCTCAAAATGGATGTCGGGGCGGTGGTCGTGGAACTAAGGAACCACTACTCATTGACGCAGTCATTGGCAAAGTGGCGAAACGCAACCGCCGGAACTTCTCCGCCGCCTGTATAGACTACAGAAAGGCATTCAACTCGGTGCCCCATATATGGCTAAAGAGAGTCCTCGAGCTCGAACTGTACAGTGAGAGACTTCCTCGAGCAGTGTATGGGGCAGTGGAGTACGATCCTTTGTCATCTGGGTGCGGATGATGGCTGCGGAGAACCATATAAGGATAAGAAGGGGTATCTTCCAGGGCGAATGTCTGAGTCCAATCTGGTTCTGCCTTTCTCTCTGAACCCTCTCAGCACCTTACTGGAGGGATCCGGGAGGGGAATTCATCTACGGAAAGGAGGGAGAAAAGTGACCCACCTTTTCTATATGAATGACCTCAAGTTATTCGCCTCTAGTCGCTCCCATCTTATTGAATTGCTAAAAATCACTTGTGAATTTAGCAATTCCATCGGAATGGAGCTGGGGACGGATAAGTGTGCGGTCCTCCATGTTGAAAGGGGAAGGGTTGCTAATGCTGAGGGCATAGATTTATCTATGCCCGTCAACTTAAGGACCCTTTCCGAGGCTGAAACATACCGATACCTGGGTATGTCACAGAACATCTGTATCGATGAGGCTGGTATGAGACCGTCAGTTTGCGACGTGTTTTATGCTCGCTTGACCAAAGTGCTTAATAGCCTTTTGTCCGGTATGAATAAGACACACGCATATAACGGTTGGGTCATGCCTGTCCCTATGTAAACATTTGGCATACTCAGGTGGACTCAGACTGAACTTAACGCCCTGGATAGAAAATTTCGCAATACCATGACCTCCCATAGGATGCATCATCCGAGATCGTCGGTAATGAGGCTGTACTTGCCGCGAAAGCATGGTGGGCGTGGCTTTCCGAGCGCGCTCACCATGCATAATCGTGAAGTGTGCATCCTCCGTCATTACTTCCTGGCGAGATCAGATGATCCATTCTATAATGACGTAATTTGTAGTGATAAAGGGCTTACCCCTCTATCCTTAGCCAACGAGCAATGGCAAGACCCAGCAGTGATTAGCATTTTCGACCGGAAGGACGTATGGAAGGAGTGGTACTACAAGGCTCTACATGAGCCCTTCGTAGATACAGTTGCCTCCCTCAACTGGCTACGTTTCGGTGACCTATTCGGGGAAACCGAGGGTTTTGTCTGTGCAATACATGATCAGGTTATTAAGACCAACAACTATCGGAGATACATCCTAAAGGATGGCACCATCGACATCTGTCGATCTTGTCGCCATCCCGGTGAGTCGCTTAGGCATATCATCTCCGGTTGTTCGGCGCTTTCTAACTCTGAGTACTTGCACAGAAACAACCTAGTAGCCAGAATTCTACATCAGGAGCTCGCTCTGAAATACGGTCTCGTGGGCCGGAAAGTGCCGTATTACAAGTACTTGCCGGAAGCCGTGCTCGAAAATGACCGCGCCAGGCTCTGCTGGGCCCGGGCCATCATCACAGACAGGAATATTCTTGCGAATAAACTTGATATTGTGCTGATGGATCTGGCATAGTCAAGGATATATTTGGTCGACATTACCATTCCGTATGACGAGAACCTCGTGAAAGCCGAAACAGATAAGCGAACAAAATATCTGGACCTGGCTCACGAGGTGACTAACATGTGGGGTGGTCTGCCGGGCGAAATTATTCCTGTAGCCGTTTCTGCAAATGGGCTAATTCTAGACAGCCTCTCGGGTCATCTGAGGCGACTGGGACTCCGTGACGGACCGCTCCGGGCTCAAATGCAGAAAGCGGTGCTCCTCGATACCGCCCGCATCGTCCGCCGGTTTCTTTCCCTTTCCCCCTAACCCTCGGCCGTTTGGTCTCCCCTGCCGAGGGCCTTCATCTGGTTGGGCTTTTATTTATTTATGTATAGTTATTTTTTCCTTTTATATATTTATCCAGCCCAATCAGCTGTGATAACTCTATCAAAGACCCCCAATAATAATAATGTCCTCCAGACCGAATTTCGGCCACGGCTTCCTGTCTCAACGGAGGCTATCCTTCGACGCAGGACGGGATTATAGTGCCCAAGTGTATGCGCGAGCACAGGTGCTCTCTCTATTCCCTCACTCTCATAATCCGATAGGACGGTAAACCGACACGACCGGAGAGAGATCAGGCGCAGGACCAACGGCTTTACGTGCTTTCCGAGGAACGGGGGTGAGACACTGCCAACTTCCTGACTCCGGGCAGCTACGGAGAATTTATTGACGAAAAAACTCAATAATTGATTTTTGGCCCGAGCCGGGATTCGAACCCAGGACCTCATGACCAGAAGTCGCACTATTACAACCACTAGACCAACGGGGCTGTCAAAAAAATTTAAATGTGTACCTTCAACTTTTTGATGTTTTCTAAATTAAATGTTAGTTGAATAAAAAATGTAAAAAAGCTATTTTTTCAATAAATATTTATTTTATTTAACTTTACAATAATGAATAAAAAAACACAACTCTGTGTACATTTTTTTTACACCACAAACTCGACAATAATGTGGCCCACTAAAGATGACCCGAAACAGGCACAAAAAGACACATTTTGTACCACAATACAGACAATTCCATTTTATATATATATATGTACATGAAATCACGACGAAGTAAATAATGCTATAGCTAAGTCAGTCAATTGGTTTAATGTTAATAATTTGCATTTTAATGGAACTAAAATTAAACTCCTAATGTTAAACATGTCAATACTAATGTAATTTTAAATGGAACTGAGGAACCGAGTCTTGTTGATACCACCATTTTTCTTGGAATCACACTGGACGCAAAGCTTCAATGGCTCCCCCATATATCAAAACTAGCTAGCGGACTTAGTTCTGCAGTATATGCTTTAAAAAAGAATAGAACTCTTACCAGTGTTCAAGCAGCTAGAATAGTTTACTTTAGTTATTTCCATAGCATTATGTCGTATGGTATTTTGCTGTGGGGACACGTGACTGACAATGAAATTATATTTATTTTAATTTCATTGTCAGTCGCGCAGAAGAGGGCCATTAGAGCAATATATACTTTAAAACCAAAAGAGTCACTGAGACAAAAATTTAAGGAAATTAATATATTAAACTTTGGCCTTTCATACATTTATGAGAAATGTACGTACACAAAAATAAAAGTAGTTTTGCGAAAATAAGTGATATTAATTCTGTAAATACTAGGAACAGACACAAGCTTAGTAGTACCAGTTACTCGACTCCACCGAGTCAATAATTCATTCTTGGGGCGATGTATACGCTTTTACAACAAAATCCCGGAAAATAGACAAAATTAAACTAAGTTTGTATAAAAAGGGTTATTATAATATTAAGGAATTTATAGATGATAATATCCCCTGGGAAGGGTAATCGCTACCAAGTATGTCTAATTTGTCTTTTGTTGTTAATTGTAAACATGATTCTAAGCTAGTATTGGAAAAAAAATAGTCCCGCTGGGTCTGCGTTCTCCCAGGACAGAGGTTTTTTTTTTGCGAACCAGTGGTAAATGAAAAAAGTGACTTTCAATAAGTATTGTATTATATTATTGTGTATGCATATTGCATATATATATATATATATATATATATATATATATATATATATATAAGCCACTCTCGCCTGCGGGCGCTCCTCTGTGTGCGATTCATTTAACGTTTTTTATGAATCGTTATGAGACCTGTGTCTATAAGCTTCTTCCAGTACATGCTTCTATGAAAAATATTTACTTATATTAATAATTTCACAATGATGATATTCGTGAGATTCCACTGTTTCTAATCAATAAAAAAATATAGATTTCAAATTACGGAGAAATATCGATTCTAAATATTCTTGTTCAATGGTTCGCAAGATAGGTAATTTTGCATTTCGTTTATTTTTTTGTATTTGACTTTAAAGAATTGTTAAGCTACAAGTAAAAGAACTAACATTCATACATAATTATAATTATAATTACTATTTATTATAAATAAAATCAATAAAACTAAATTGTTCCATGTGATAAGTCACATCGCAATTTTTAGATGATTCTGTTATTTCGTCATGTTTATTATCTTTAAGCCGCGATCGTTTACCAAAAACATTAGGTATTTTTACATTTTTCATTGTTATTATAGCGAAAAGTTATAGGTAAGTACCTATAAATAAGTAATGCATAAGTATGCATTAGTTTAGCTTAACAAAAATGAAAGACGTGAAGAGCGGAGCCTCCTAACACAAGTTTCCTAACTTAAAAGTGTGCTCCAATAATGTATTTCATTTTATGTATTAATGAAGCGAAAATAAAAATATTTGATTGATTTGATTTTGACTAGATATAACATCCGTGTTGATATTTTCAACTTTCTTTCTCCTGTAAAAAATTATATTGCAAATGTTTTTATTTATTTATTAAAGTGTTTAATAAATTAATCTAAAATACGAAAAACAAACAAGAAAATTTGCCTTGACATTCCTGGAATCGATCCCGGGCACTCTCGAGTGCAAACTGCAAATCTATACCTCCACCAAATAGGTACACGTTGGTTGAATACTCAGACACAACTGTAATAAACTGCGTATCTAAAATTAATAGGTTTAAAAATTATTACATTCAATTCTTTTTTTATTAATAAAAGTATATAATAAATTTATTTAAATATATAAAAGACAAGATAATTTGACTTTATATTCCTGGAAACGAACCCGGG